TGGCTGTCTGCCCATCTGCCGCCTCTTTGTCCTGTTTGCTCCGTTACTCCCATGCCCTGGTGCGTAGTGCCTGGTGCTGATACGTTACCCTTTGATTTTTTCTTTGGGCGGATGTGGGAGGCGTTCTCCTATATATATGTATTGTTTTCTTTATTCTCTTAATATCACACAACAAATCCATCTCTATCTATAGAAACAAGTCTAAGATAGTTTAGCAATTAATCCATAGCGTGAGCGAAAGGCTACCTGCATGTCTACGGTTTCCCAGACAGCATACAACGATATCTCCCCTGTGGGTAACAGGCTCAACAAGACAGTTTGGTAGCCATCTTGTGTATCTATGTGTATGTTATGTTGGGAAGTTGTAGACGGAAGATTTAGGGGAACTCGGTTTGTCGGGTGTTCTATTATGGCACCCTCATGTGTTTGCGGAGCAAGCGCGTCTCGGGGTGTGTATATTTTCGTGATCAACTTATTTATTGTGTGTGACGTATGGGGGCATGTGCGGCGCGGGAGAACATATTTACCTTGTTGTGTAATGGCATGTCGTTAAATGTGAGAAGGGCACGGGAGAACATTATCTCATCATTTCCTCCTGACGTGGCCGCCGATAGAGGCGTGTGGTTGGGGTTTCATCACTGACATGTGGGTGTGTGTGAAATGCAGTGGGTATATTCGTATGTCCGTACTGATCCAACACTCGACGCGGTCGATTCCTGTGGTCGCAGGCTAACTTTCCCTAAAAATATTTTTGTTTTTGTTTTACTTTGATCGGTTTCCGAGGGCTCTTTTCTCGAACAGTCGGTGCGGTAGCTGTTATTTTCTTTCTATCATTTTGTTTTCTTTTTCCGAGTGGTTTGTACCCTATGTTTGTTTTGTTTCCCCGCGACGTCGTATGTGCCGGGTTCTGAGACCACGGGCTCCCCATTTTTTTTGGACTATAGAGCTAATGTGAGGAACAACAACAACAACAACACTCTTGCGCCCTGGGCCCGAAAATTTGGAACCAGTAGCTTCCAAACGATTGTGCCTCGCCGCCTTCAAGGAGGTGGGAATAATCCGACTCATGTTAGGGCAAGGTTTGGTCGGGGTTGTTGTTTGGTTTTGACATTTCGCGGCCGATGGTGCTCAGTTGTTGAGCGGTGTCACCAGTACGGTACGAAGGTAGTTGTTTGCTGTCTTTGCAGGCCTCTTCAAACCCCTGTTGACCTAGGACCTCTCGTTTTCTTTCCCCGGACCCCCCCCGCACGTCCAGGCCAGCGACATGTGCAAGAAGCGCGAGTATTACCACGCACTACTGACAGGCAACTACTTCGTGAGTTGGAACGTGTGCCACCAGATTTTTCAGATTTGGTACAAGAGCTCGCCTGTGAGCGTTTCGTTTGGGTGGGATTTTCCATTAGTAAGGGCGGTGTGTTCTTGTTGGGCGTAGATTTGGCGCTTTGTCACCGCATTCAGCGCCAAACGCTCTCAGTAACCTGACGAAGCAACTATATTGTGGTGGGATGTCCATTCGGCTATCCAAATCGAACACCCGATTTCGACGTCAATCCTGTGCGCCTCGGTAGGTCCCGTTGGCGTCTGCCCAGGCGGCAGCTGAAGCCGACAAGTAAGCCTACAAGAAATGCGTGGTGAGGCACCGACTCTAGACCGCGTAGTCAGGGAGTTGGCTGCAACAGTGTTCATTTTCGGTGGCGCCTGGCACTTACTTCGTGGGTTGCAGTATGTACACGGTGTCCGGATTTCAGCACACGTTTTTTTCGGGACCGTTTCTTTGTTCCTTTCGCCTTGCCTGTTGCCAAGATGAAGAGTCCGATGAAAGAAGGAGGAAAGCGAAAGCGGCGGCGGCGTCCCGGCCAAAACATACGGAGCAGGGAGGGGGGTTGGGCGTCGGTGGGAAGACGGGAAGGGGAGAGTCGAGCGGGGGGGCAGCGAAGGGTGCCGGCGCGGCACAGGGAGGTGGTGAAGGCGGGGCATCGGCTGGGAATCCTGGAGCCGGAAACAAGTACGGTAGCCAGGAGGGCGGAGGCGTGGACCCGAACCCTTGTATTCGTACACTCCGGCGCAGGGCCAAAGGATGTCAGGAAATGGCGGCCAAGTTCGAGTCTAATGTGGGGTTGGAGTTGTGTGGATGTTCGGGGTCTTTCACGCTCCATGGCATGAGGTTGACGAAAATCAGGGTTTCTGCCCTTTAAGGAAGGTTGAAGTAGAGGTCCTCTGCGCATGTTGAGAGCACACACTCTTCAGTATTTTCCTTCTTTGTTATGTGTATTGCACGTTGGCTGCGTTTAGATGTGTCTGTTCTGAAGTGATGTGCTTTAACGTTTCGTTGCGCGATGCCGAGAGTGGATGAAAGCTCGCTTAGTCGTCGAGTCGGCGATGTAATGTGGGAACTAAACAGACGACTCCA